CTCTGCTCGCCTAACAGCTCAGCTCCTTTGCATTCAACAGCAGGAGCCGCAGCCGCTTGTTGCCGTCTGTCCTACTTGTTGCTGTGCCTTGATAAGCAGTCCTGGGATGAACCTGCTTCTGACTAGAAGAAACAAAACATTAATATTCCCAGAAGGACACAAGAGTTACAGCAGAGGGCAAGGAGGCTGCAGAAGAGGTGAATGGATAGTTGAGGCAGTCCCGATGAAACTGCCTCCCAGATACTCCCATCCTTCCGGCTGAATAGCACAATCAGCTGTTACCCAATTGCTTTGTCATCTTTGGCACTCGCTGCAGGCAGGCATCAGCTTTTGCCAGCCCAACATTGCTTTTCTCTGCCGTGCACCCCAGAGCAGATGAGTGTGTTTCTAGAAACTGGTCCCACCTGACAAACGGGAAGAAAAGTGAGGATGTAGGTCTCTGGGTGTAGGAGTTCTCTGAGCCCATGTTGGAATCCAGGAGCACAGAGAAATCAACTGATCCTGAATCCTCAATACTTTGCTTACCACATCATAAGGAAAGAAGATTTAAATAGCACATCTAAATAATCTCATCTTTCTCTGCTATCATTCCACTGGTACACTCTGGATTATGTTGTGATGTACGCAGCTCACAAGGACAAGAGGTGGTGGTGTATGGATTTCCTATCCTTCACAACTGAGCAAGAACACCAATGGACACAGTCTTCACCAGTTCACCCAGAGGTCCATCAACTGCCATCTGCTGCTTTAAAAACTATTCCAAAACAAGATAGGTTGTCCCCAAATAATTTCCCTGGGCCTCTGTAATCTCAGTAGAAATCTTCTTTCTCCTGGCAGTAATCTTAAACCTAGCAAGAGGGCCACGAAGCTTGCTGTCTGCTCCTGTGCTCTAGGACATTCTGATTTGCCCATTGCATTTGTTTTCACAGACACATGCACACTGTTGCAGAGGTGGTCAAAGGAGACATTCCAGGAGAACCTCCTGGGATCCAGGTGTACACGGACACCAGCGCAGCAGAACCAAAGGGAACGTTCACAGCAATTGCCTAAATTCTTCTTCTTTGCTTTACTAGAAATAGTCATCTAAGCAACTCTCATTTAGGAAAGGCTTTAATAGAACCAAGATGCTTTCATGGGCCTGTACATCACACACACACACACCGCCCGCCCCCAATCCAACCCCACAAAATAGTCCAAGAGCTTGTGTTTACAGCCTTCAGAGAACAGTAGGCTGTTTGCTAAAAGGATTAGATAAGGCTTGACAAAGATGCAGGAAGGTGGGCATGCTGTGCCTTAGAAAACTTCTGCAATACAGAACCCAAAACATCCCCGTAGGCACTTTCAGTTAGAAAAGAACCTAGAAAAGAAGGGGAGAGAAATTGCAAATAGGTTTGGCAAAGCACTTTGGCCACTGCTGGATAGAGGGCAAAATTACACAAGAGTAACCAAACAGCGGTGTCTCCGAGGCATCCCTGAACAGTTAGTGCTTTTACTGCTGAGATCTGTGGGACCATCTCAAAACTGATACTTTCTCCTTTTATCTCGAGGAGAAAACAATGACCCTTAAAACATGCTGCTGATTCTCCTCCCGCTTTCCTGCAGAAGGGAAAGCTGCTCTCCTGGGTTTGGTGAGGACAAGAAGCTCAGGTGCTCCCTAAGGCTGCCCAGCACTTGGAGGAGAAGCCCAATTCTCCCCCCTTTCGAGAGCACCAGGCAGATGCTGCCACCGTGCAGAGTTCTGCACCGCTGGGTTCCAGACTTCTGAGAAAACCAGGACACAGTAGCATTGCCTGTAGGGCATCTATTCAAGGACCTTCCTTGATACGGAGAAGCATTATGGGGCCGAAACACACCTTTTCTTTCATAACCAGTTCAGTCAGACACCTTGTCACATCCTGGGCTACAGCCAAACCCCCAGAGATCAGCTCCTGATGCGCTTCCTTTGCACTCAGAAATTAAGTAACTCCTACATTTGTGCTTGCCCAAACATTGGGCTCTGGAGATCGCAGTCACAGTGGTCGTGATGGGGACTGCTACTATCAGGATTTTCAAACAGATACTTAAGCAAAGCTCTACTGCTTAGAGTGCTTCCAGAGTAGGCTGGAAAGTTCCTGGGGGGGGCGACAACCAAAAGTGACAGAAAAGTGGTAAAAAGATGAATTGTAACTTTTCTTGAGGAATAGCATCATAGCACCACCAAACTACTTGGAGTTGAGGGACCAGAATGTGCAGGCATAGGGGTTTCTCCAGCAATCCAGTATTGTGCTCAACTCTGGATTTACAGTAAACTATAAAAAACACAAACACAACTACAAACTTCCCCACTGTGTCCATTTAAACACAGCTAAGCGTAGGTGTGGATTTGTGTCTAAAGAAACAAGCCACAGGAGAGAAGGCAGAGCAGGCCCAGCAGCCACATGGCATATTTAATCTCAGGGGAAGAACACCTGACTTCTACATGCAAATCAACAAATAAATAAATAAAGCCAAGTATCTGTTCGGGCTTCTTTATTTAAGACCATTAATTACACTGTTATGGGCATCTCCATTAGGGGACTCTCACAAATCTTCTCATGAGACTGATCAGGATTAGAGCTAGGCCTATAAGGAGGAGGAAGAGAAGCATGCTCAGTGGAACTGCACCAAGAAGAGTGGAAATAAAGGACATGGAAGAACTAGCCCAGATCAAGTAAAAGTAAGTTTATTCACGTGAGATCAGTTTGGACATTGAAAAGTGAGTGAAAACCTTTCTCCATCTGAGCACCCTGAGGAAATAACACAGAACCAAAATCCCAGGACGACAACAACAAAACCACCCTGAAGTCACAGGCACGCCTCGCTAATTGAGGGTGGCCTCAAAGCACCGCCGCACACTTACACCCGAGCTGCTGGGCAGCTTGTGCCTGCAGCGCTCGCAACACATCTGACGCCTCTCAAGAGGGGACAGAACTGTTTACAGGAAGCCATTTGTTACAGGGGCCTGCCTCTCCTCCCCCCCCGACCACGGCGACATCCCTTTCCCACCCCACCACCTTTCATCAGAAGCTTATCTAGTGCCCAGACGGCTGGCCAAAAAGCTCATCCAGGTTGGAATTTGAAACCACAGATTCTCAGACGCCATGGCTGGGGCAAACGGTGCCGCCATCAATTTTAGAACTAAATTTCAGGGAGTTTTGATTCTATTTGTACAGGGGCTAATGAGTAGCTTGGGATGTGAATGCTAACCCCAGGGCATAATTCTGAGAACAGGATGATAGATTCTCAGTCTCCTGCTCTAATTATACAGGCAAAAATTGGAATGGGAATGAGAAGAGACAAAAACAGGATTCAGGTCCCTTGTCAGCTTAATGGCATCATTTTCCCAAGCACTGAAATTTTTCAAGAGTTAGCAAAAAATGCAAGAATCACCTCCACCAAGAAAGAGATACTCTCAAAAAAGGTATAAAATGGAGCAACTGAGTTTCACAGTAAGCAAAGCTGTGCACAGAGCCATCACTGCAGAAGCAGCAATCACCAAGCAACCGTTCAATACAGTAAAACTGTAAGGCACTAATAATGTTCCACTCATTACAATCAACACATGACTAAAAATTGACATTCATTCATTCAAAAATTAAAAAATCACTTTACATTTTGAAAAGGCAACTTTTTCCCATTTAAAAAGTTTCAAATTTTCAGCTCCAAGAATTTTCCTGCCTCCCTCCCCCCACCTCCAGGCATTGCTGACTAGTCAGATTGAGTGTTTGATCAGAAGTTCTACTAGTTAACACATACCTATTACAACAAAACATCCCAAGGCATAAGCAGAAAACAATTTGTTAAGAAGTTACTCAACGATCCCATTAACATCACCAACAAATGTCAGAGGTGTGAGCCGGTCACGCTGCTTACCGCACTACTGCAGAATCCTCAAATACCACCATACTAAGTGTAGTCACGTGTTTTTAGCGCTGACTTGCATCCACCTTTCTCTTTAAGACACAACTCAAGCTTTAAAACTCTGGAGCTTGAGGTCCCCTACGCAGCCGTAGGCAGAGAAGGATGGGGGAAGACAGCAGCACTTGCTCATTGATGCTATTCCATGAGTACGCTTCCGTCGCTGTCTGGAAGCCCATGTCTGATAGCAGCCAGGTCCCTTAATTCCTTTAATTCAATTCTGGTTCTCCTTTGCTGGAGATGAGCAATTGCCCAATGAGTATGAAATCAGTGACACCAGCTTCCTTCAGAGGGTCACCTGACAGTCCCATTTTTGTCAGTATTGATCAGAGTTCAACTAACAAAGCAGTAGTAAAAGTATTTGTGTCCCATTATGGATCCCCAAAGCCATTCAAGGATCCTTTAGACACAAAGGATCTATTAAGGCTTATTCTCAGAGATCACAGTAAAGTATTGCACACTATTTGTCTGCTTAAATAGTTAAAAACTGAAATCTCATTTCCCAGAGATCAGTAATATTATTATTATTAAAAAAAAGCTAAAAACAAATATGGAGGTAACTTCTCCATGTGAATCTACTGAAATATGTGACAGTTAATAGCTAGGGATAGCAGAGGTCCATCTGTGCAGAGATTTAGCAACAGCATTTTTTAAACAATTGGACAACGCAAATGCCAAATAATTATTTTTGCCCTTTCTAAAAGCTAAAGTGATCGTAAATTTAGCCTACCTATGAAATGCACTGTACTATTTCACCAGCACAACAGAGCATCAAAATTCATTGCAAGACAGCCTCTCCACCGTCAGTTTTAAATAGTTGACCTTTGTTCAGGACATCCAGAAATAAATAAGAAAGGGTATATAGCAGTGAGGCCACCCAACAGTAGACCCTAGTGTGACTGCTGACATGGAAGAGTCTGTTAGGTCGGGACAATCCATCAGTCCCATGGATTGTCTAGCTTCGGTCAGCAGCTCCATGATGTGGGTGGTCTCAGGACGGGTATTTGGTACTTCACTACTGAGCTTGCCAAAGGTGAGTCAATCAAGCCTTTGCAGAGCCATTTGGAATTAGTCCAATCCCGGAAGATGTAAGAAACAAGTCTCCCAGAGTTTTGATTAGTGTCCCAGCTGTCAGATCCATACAACAGTCCTTCCAGAGGCAAGGAGAAGTCACTCAGCCAGCATTCACAGACGCCATTCATGCAGAAGCAATCTGATCTCCCTCACTATTAATGGTGAAATGAACAGGATTGTTGAACTCGTCTGTGAAAAGAAGCATATCCAGGACAATTAGCACAGACCAACCGTAGCTGCAGCCATCCTGCACTCCTACGTGCATTCAAGGTCTCCCCAGTAAGATACAGGCTAAGTGGCACAGCGGATGGAAGGACTGAGCTTGCAGGCAAGCTCATACAATTTCAGCTGTCATAATCACCTTTTCATAAAGAAGATGAGCTCTTCACCTCCTCAGTGACCTTCCTCCTCACCACCCCTGCTAGTTACCTAAGTGGCCTTTTACCTTGTCAGCACAGATGCAAAGACAATTCCTGGGACTTCTAGCAGAGAAGAACGGGTGAATTGTACAGCATCCACCACTGTGGCAATGCTGAGGAGACTAGGGCCTGAACCATCTTCTACCCCAGTGGCATACCAGGGCAAGGCATTTTCGTTTTAGTTTGAAGATGCTCATCGCTCCTTCCACTAATCTTCAAGGGCTAACAAACAAGCAGCTTAACTTCAGCTCCCTGAAAATATTAGGAACTACACATCATGGAGATGGAGGAGACAAAAGTCCTGCCTTGGATGTCAGTCAGGTGGTACGAGCTTTAGGAAATGCATACAGGTATTTTTAGGCAAGTAGTTTTGTGTCTTTGCCACAATCTCAGTTCCTGTTGGGCAACATGACTTTAAAGGATCCAAAATGAACCCAGTTGATTTAGACACGCTGAGGCCATTACACACCATAGACCACTTTGAGGATGGCATCAGAGTTCGCAGCTGCTGTAGAAATAGCTTGCATGCTTAAGTCACAATTTTCAGGTTATCACAAAAACTTTCTATTGCAAATTGAACTTTGACAAAGAATTTTTAGCAACAGCGATTTCTTACCATGAGAATAAAGAAATAGAAAACCCACATCCATCCCAGGTTCTCCTGGATCAAAGACACTAGATACTAAATAGAAAGGGGAAAAAAAAAATTATTCAAACTGGGAAGATAAACATAACTTTCAGGCATTACTCTCTCATTTTCTAGAAATTGTGGGCTGTTAACACTCCATATAGAGCTGATCACAAAACCTTCCAGCTGATCTTTTCGTGTCAGAAGAGATGACTCAGGACAGCAGCCTTTCTGTATAAAACCCACAGCCTCAGCAAAGCAGAGATATCGTCCTGAAGCTTTACAGTAACTCATAACAGCATAAAGAGAGAACTGAACTACAGTTTCAAAGGGTGACAAATTGACTCCACTGAATACAAGGTTTTTGCACAGAACACTGTGACATAAGTGGATGTAAGTACTCTCAGAAGAACTAAAATATCTAGAATGGCTTATAAATTACACAGGACACATTTTCAAGAGCTGCGCAACCACTAACTACTTAACCCTTCATCGTAGGCAAGACACTTGAGACTACAGTCTGTTCTGAACTGCATCCCAGTTCAACAGGACTATACAGGCCACAAAAGAAAATGTATTCCCTATTAGCAGATTTATATTCACATGCTGCACAAGGGCCTCCCTTCTTCACTACTGGGTATATTAGCACAAAAGAGGATCTGCATTTCTAACATGTTCATTGTGCATGTGCTGTTATTCACACACCCCCAGAATGACATCATGGTTGTCTCTGTTGAAATACATGCAATGTTAGAATGGGAGGCAGGTGGAATTTTTCAGAACTAAAGACCCAATTTTTATGATGACATAAGTTTGAATGGTATGTGTGTGGGAAGACAGAAACACTGTAGACAATGCAAGAAGAACATTGAGTGTAACAGCGCACTTTAAGATGTCCACAAAGCACTTGTAATTTTCCACTTTTAATGGAGCTAAGCAGCATATTTCCTACAAAAGAGAGACTGAACGATTGTATTTATCAGGCCATCAATGGCAAACCCAAATCCCTTTTCAGAAAAAGGGATGTAGGCCTTGCCTGTGTCTTTGGTATTTTACCAGCACTAGAGGATGCCTGGAATAGAACTGGCTCCGATCTTTCTACTAAATCCTGCCTTCCCCAAAGCACCACTGTTTTCTTCTACATAGTTAACACTTGTGTTTGAGAAGAAAGAATGTCCCCAGTGGGCACACTGTCAGCTTCCTTTTCTGCAACAGTCTAGTCTTCAGACCTCTGGCAGCATACTGTAAGGACTATCGAAGCAAGTGGTGCTGGATTTACAAGGTGTAAAAGATATCTGTAGATAAATTGGGGAACTACAAATAACAGCAAATTACTTTATAAACACTGCAACACTTATAATAGGTATTCTAATTTTACTGTGTTATAGAGGTAAACTTTTCCATAAGCAATGGTTTTGCTATTACCTTTGAACAAAAAAATCCCAAACAAACTTCAAAATATTTTATTTTCACTCTTTGCGAAGCTGACCTTTCCTCACTTTTTGGAATTCAGGATACGAAAGTCTCTAAAATTCATCTGAATTATGAAAATGCCATAACTTTAGCACTATGAATACTTATTTTAGTTCCACTGGAAGCTTAAAACAGTCATGTTCCTTTTTCCGTTTCTTAAACAAACAAACAAACAAACAACACCCCCCCACACCTCTCTCTTTCTCTCTTCCTACATACAACTTTGGATTGAGGAATGAGCTAATATCTCTAACAACAACAGACTCTTTGCCTCCTTTCCCAGACCTCCATTTTCCTTTGGTAGCCTCACCTGGCCCACTGCGGCACCAATACTGCCAGTTCCATCAACAATTCCCGTGACTGTTGCCAGAGCCTCGCTGTTGCCTTTCACCAGATCCTGGCGCCCCAGGTCAGCAGAAATTGCAGAACTGATCATGTTAGAAGGGCCTCCAATGAAAAATCCTGAAAACGCCAAGAAAACATCCTTGGTACAAAACAAGCGTGTGGATAGACTCTCAATAGACCATCTTCAAAACATAGATTTTCTACCATGCAAAGCTCAGGAAAAGGATTAAGTCTAGGGGCAGCGATCACAGACTAACTGTAGGTAGAAGTGCACCCTCGCAGCTGAAGCATACCGTCATGGAACACCTTGCATATCTGGAGTACGTACACAGAAACTGCCAACAAGGACATTTTCATCCAACAGCAAAAACGAGGTAATTAGCTGTGGCACACTCTGCAAGAAGTCAGGACGCACCAAACCGTATATAGAAAGCTACTTTTGAATAGCATGCATATACAAACCCTTGACATGAAGCAGATTTAGACACATTTCTACTTTGAAGTAGTATACCCCCATGCTACAGCCTCCGTCTCCAGGGGTTCATGGAGGAGATGGAAGGCAAAAAAACCCCACAACAGGACAGAGAATTCTGAAGTAGGAGTGTTTGAAAAGAAAGGCTCCATTCATCCAGGCTAATCTTAATTCCATAACACAGCACAGTACGTCTGGTAGCACACAAAGCTTGTGACCTCTCACAGTACACAGGGCATTTGGGGTTCTGACAGACAAACACCCTCAAATGTGAGCTGCAGCTCATGACTTGGCCATATATCCACTTCCTCAGATACCTGATCACTGCCAGGTATTTTGGCATAAATCCGTCTCCATCATACTGAGCTAAGGCAGATCCCCTTAGTTTCAAGCCATTATTCTATACAGTCTATATTCTATACCTCCCTCTAAGGCAGTTTTCTTACAGCTGTATTTCAAAGGTAACAGAAATTGGGCTCCAGCTTTTACTTGTTCTGCAAAACCAGCAGAGATGGCAGTACACACAAATGCATTACCACCACCTGAGGCTGGTGTTACTGATTTTTTTCTGCAACGTATATATATGCCTACTAGCAAACAGTGGCATTTGATAAGATACCTGTAATTGCCATGATCACAGCATTGATAGGTTTGCTGTTTGGAGAACCTGCAAGAGAAAGACCAGATGCGTGTAAATAAAACAAATTAACTTGAGAAAGTGACTTACTTCGGATCAGAAAGAAGTATGCAAACATCCAGTTTGAACTGCCAGTTCAGTTAGCTACATAGTGACAAAAATAACTTCTATTTGACTAGAGACTTCTACAGAGATTAGACTTACTGTAAAGGCATTTAGAGACTAAAGACCCAGAAGGTTTCCCGACAGCACTTTACAGCAGAAAAGTCACCTTTGCCATTACAATTTTGTGCCCTGTTTCAGTATCAGATTTGCCTGGCTCTGGGTTCCAGCCCTTGTTATGTCTCTTTCTGTGACACAGAGCTTGTATGTACTCTCCTTGAAAGTCCATTGGAACAGTAAGAGAATCCTCCCTCTGTCTCTCTGGGGAAATTAGGCTCAACTGAAACTTTCACTCCGTGAATTATTCAGCACTTGAATCACCCCTTCCACTCACTCTGAATTTTCCAAAATATTTTTTAAAATACAGAGATTAGATCTGGAGGTAGTAATCCAGCAACTGCCAAAACAATGCTGCACAATAAAGTAAAAAATGCAAAATCCCATATCCTAATTCCTCCTTACAAAGCCATGTTTGGGCATCTACAGGTTCCACTTGCCTTTCCGGAAAGAGCAGCATCATGCGTACATACAGCTGGTTTTCCACTACAGTTCTTCAGTGCTCTCCAGACACTGTTTTCTCCAATATCTCACTTTCAGGCATCACCTGAATTCCTCACTCACCACTTCAACTTTGGGCCCACATATGGCCAAGTTACCATGCGTATGGCAAGTTGCAGCCCTCTTCACATATTCTTAGGCCATTATTACTCTTACGTGCAACACACTATGGGCATAAAAAGGTTTCCTGGTTTGGCTGATGGAAGTTAAATTATCACACTGCAGTACCTTTGTATCACCTGTCTGAACCTTCTGTGTCCGGCTAGACAGTAGTGCATTTTGAGTTAAGCACAAGACACCTGGACCTCTGGCTGCTCTGCTATCTAGTACAAACTTCAAACTTCGTCAGTAATAAGTTTATATTTGCTTCCAGTTCACTTTTCAAAGTAATGAGTTAGCATAAGAGCTTACAAAACTCCACCAAACCCAATCGTTGCTACTTAACAACTATACCTGATTGACCTTACTTTGAGACCATGTGAGTAAGCTCGCATGCTTCAGAAAGGCACACTTTATTTTTCATGTCCAGCTCTGGCAGTGATTTCTGTCCACAGATCTCAAAGTGCTCTATAAAAGCCTGTCTGTATCACCACCCCATTTTGGAGGAAGACAGACAGAAGTGAAACGACATCCCAGTGAGTTAAAGCACTCTGGTACCATAGGACACCATGTCTGAAAACACAAAACTGTTACCCTTAGAAGAACTTCACAGATCTTTCATAGAAATGAGATGTGCCCGTCTCCTTCTACTAGGATTTCCTGATAGATCCCTTTCAATAACTGATCACCACGAACTATATCTATTATGAGAGGCAGGAACTCTTCAATTTCACCACTTACAGAAGTGTAAGTGATGAAGTCTAAGATCTTCTGCCTCTTTGTAGTGTATATATACTCCACTACAGATCTGTGCCCAGATTCTCTTTCCTCTAGGGGATACTATAGGGATGCACCTGAGATTTCCTGCTCTGCCAGTTGTGGTGTTGATACAATGACAATACCAAAAATCTTGATGACACTGGAGAAGGATCAGTATGACAACTCACCAGTACAGGGAAATTGAACCACTCAAGTTAATTCTTTTCCACCTCATTAACCAGAGAACAGATTTCTTTCTGTGCACTGCCACACTTCAGGCAAAAGAGACCAAAAGGCACCATCCTGATCCAGAAGCAGTTTCAAGACCAGAAAACATAATTAGAACAGGCTGTGCTTTGGTACTGTCTAAGATGTACTGAATGAACCTCTTATCACTGTGCAGCAAAAGCATACTCACGGCTGTATCCAAAAAGAGAGCCTACAGCAAAGAGCAGGCTAATTGCTAGCACTGGGGCTCTCTTCTGTAGCACATCAGAAATCAAGCCCTGGATAGTCCCACCTGCAGAAAAATAAATCATTGTCAGGCTCAGGATGCTAACACCTTGAACAAAACTCATTTCACTGAGCGCAGTGGCCTCTTGCCTTTTCATCAATATGCATTCTCTCTAAAATCCTGAAAATTATGTCTCCTGACTTTAGTGCCCCAGACACAGAGACAACAGTAAACTAAGTGGCTCAGATAGAGCAGGGAAAACTACTCACACTGTTTTCCCAGGAATTTATTACTTCTTTTTTTCTGGCACGCAACTAGCCAATGTGCCTGCTTTCCTTTTCCTTGCCCTGTAGGACTATCACAGCTCTAGGATCACCACAACTCTGGATGTAAGCAAGCTTAACATTGTGGCTGGATTCTTTAACAGAAAGTGCAGGAAAATGCAGTTCTTTTTCACAGGGAAAGCATTAGAACACAGGGGCCTCATATTCCCTGCTGTCTCACCTACTTAAGGTAGGTGTGCAACTAATGGCGACAAATGCCAATAGCTGATAAAAATCACCTTATGGATCATCACTAACTCTGTAGGAACTGCTCTGCTGGTAAAAAATAGAATGCTGAGAAAGCCTAACACAGAAAAGACCATAGAGGCAAAAAAACCTGACCCTGAACAGACCAAAACAAGGATGTCTATTCTAGGAAAGCTAACTGGACAAGGTAATAAAGCAAGAACCTCAGCACAGGAGAGTGCAAGTCTAAACACATATACAATATGTTCTTTATTCTGGAGGAACGGGGCCAGATTTTGCAGCCAGCAGAAACAAGTGCAATTACATTTTATTTCTGAACATAACACAGTTGTGCCTGCTCTGCCAAGATCTGTGCTGAGTCTGTTCTTAAACATACAGGACAGAAGGGACAGTACAGAATCCAGTAAGTCCAGACCTAAACTCTCCCTCAAGGGTACCCGTCAGAAAGGAAGTAGCAAGCAGCAGGGAGACACGATTTTGTACATGGCACTTTTCAAGAAGTCCTAGTAAAGAAAAATGCCCACTGGGGATAATGTCCAAGAATACGATAGTGCCCTTTAAATTACATATAAACTCTTTAGGGGGCTCACATACCCTGTGTTTTAGGAAAAAAAAAACAGCCAAGCAGCCACATACATAACTAGACTTCTCATATACTCAGTAAACAGCTAGATGCCACTGAACATGACTGCTCTGAGCTGCATTCACTTTCATTTTCAAACACTAGCAGGGCAACTGCAGGAAAATGTCATTCACTTGCTCACTCACCTATGATTCCTCCCACATCATACCAGATGGACAGCTGGTCAGCTTCTGCTTCTTTCCATCCAAAGTTGTTGCTGAGGTAGAAGGGCAGCCAGAAGAAGAATGAGTAATTCACCAGTTTCAAGCAGGCATAGGCCAAAGAGTACTGGAACAAAGACAGGGCCAGCAAGCAGTTAGCACCTGAGAAATACAAACAGCATTTCTGCTTCTTCCCATAAAGCTCTGTATCCAGCTAAAGCTTTCAGAGAGAAGTGCTTCTGAATTTCACATAAGAAGTCAGCATTATGAAAGCTTAACGCTGAACATCAAAGGGAACCCAGGAATACAAAAATCACTGTCAGAAGGTTATTTTCTTTTCACTGAATGCAACGGGTTAAAACACTTTCAGTGTAATCTTGAGAGGAAATGACACCAGGCTTCAAAAAATGAAGGAAGTTTAATACACCTTCTGAAGAGAAGGGAGCCAACCATGTGACATGAAACAAGCTTGAGATTTAGTCATCTGTGCATCATGCTGAGAAAAGTTATGTGAAGTAGTTCCTCTGTGCTCTCTTTTGCTGCTCAGAAGGCTCATCTGCTTACAGCAGCAGCAGAGAAAGCTTCGTTCATAATCCCCTGGCAGGTATTCCAGGACACAAGATTTAAGGTTTCACCAAAGCTAAGCACATGCTTCCAAACCCAACAGCTGAGACAACCTCCTGCTTTTAGCTGCTGGGCTTAAGTCCTCCTTAGCTAGCAGATCTCCTTCTTTAGAACTTTCATGTGTGTGGCAAAGATTTGTTCTCTGGGATTGCTGGCCCAGCATGCAGAGGGATGAGGCAAGAGGCACACTATTTCAGTAAGGCCTCCTCATAAACACTAACAACGGCAGTTCGAGGAACCCCTATTTGAAGAGGTAAACCAGGATGAAGATGGAAAAAACAACCTGTTGGAATCATAGCTTTTGAGACCGTATGTATATGTGTATGTGCACACTTGTCTTTGAATTTCAAAAAGCAGATCTTTTTATATATAAAAATAAAAAAAATTGTATCTTCTGAATTTATATTGTTTTAATAGATACATTGTTTTTAGCTGTATTAATGCTTTTTCCCTCTTACAGGACACAAACTAATTCCACTATACATGTAAGATACGGCGATGTTTGGTAGAGTTCTCCTGCCTCTGGGTGTGAAAAGTGCACTGTACAAAGTGAGATTTATTACAACATGCTTAGAAACTGCCTACCAGATTGTCTGAGTGATTAAAGATTGAATTTCTAGAGGCTCAGGGGAAAACTGTCTGTACTAAAACTCTTCCACCATATCACTCAGCAGGAGAAGAGAGGAACTACAGAAAAAAATATGTCAAATAAAGTCTTTGTAGAATCTTGAAAAGGCTTTGGAGGTTCTGTCGGTATTTAGTCTCTCACCGATCTGACATAGTGTCCTGGTTTGGCTGGGCACTGATCTGACATCAGATTAAACTCACAGACTCAGAGGTGTTCATGTTGCTGGGTTAATGCACAGAACATGTCCTCAAAATCCCAAGCACAGAAACAGCAACATCAGTTGTATATTACCTCCCTATGTTCTGGCCAATGAAAAAAAAGTCACAGATCAACTGAGGCAGCTACCACCACTAAGAAATTTTGCCAAAAGGTTCTTCGTACACCACCCCATTCTTAGAACCACCAAACCCAAGCCATAGTTTATACGGCATTTACCCATATTATGAAAGGACTCAAGATGGGTATGCTCTCTTTTGCCATCCCTCAACCAAGGTTTTAGGAACAGAACTGTGGTTGCCCAGCAATCTAAACACTGACAATCCACCCATCACTTTAAGATTTTGTGTTGCCTTAATCACAACCACCAACCACTTTACCCACTAAGAGTATCTGATAATACTTTCCACTCAGTAGTTCTGCTTCATGATCAAATCCAGACAGTTCACACTGTATTACTGAGCCAGTGACCCTGCCCCCTTTCTGGTACCAGTTCTAGTTCTCAGGGGGCACACAGCCCACTGACACAGAAAGTTAACATTGTTTTTTTAATGGCAGGTTAATTTTTCAGCTGAACCAAATCCATGAATTGGGCAATACTGCTGATGCAGAAGTAGGAGTTCTCACACAAAGGAGAGGATGAGGATATGTGGAAACTGCATCACCAGGCCTTGTTTCCAGTTGTTTATCAAAAAAAAAAAAAAAAGGCCTACTTTGGCCCATGTTATATTATGCTGAATAAGGCTTTTCAGGCCAGCTTTCTGCTTTAAGGCAACCAAAAAAACCCAAACCCCACTATCAGTACCACAGAGTTCTGTGTGATGCTCAGCTAGCAGCTAGTATCCCATTCCTCAGGGCAGCGTAGCTACCTTACCAAGAATGCATCGTATAGCCACATTTGCTCATGGCCTCCCTTCTAAATTCAGCAGCAAAAAGGGCAGGACCTCTGTTGCCCTTAGTTGGCTCATTACATGCACTAAATGAAGCAGGAGTCTGATGGGAAGAGCAATACACAACCACATACCCAGACAGTATTATAGTCTATGGGCACAAGGTTAACAGTCCCAACTCCAAGATTTTAACAGCATAAGAAGTCAGATGTCAACAACTACAACACACTGTCAACATATTAACAATGATGTCAACAAATGCTGACAACACAAAAAGTCAGTTTTATGTTTAACAAGGTAAGTCAGATCTCACTTAAGAATCCGTGTTCTCACCAGTACTACACCCGGAAGGCAACAAGCCTGGAAAAAGCCAATGGCCTTTGGCTGGTTGTCAGTATCAGTTGCTTGAATAGAGTAATTCCGGTCATCATCATCTGCATCGTCATTGCCCATTAAAGGTCTGTTGGCATCTTCCTCCACACTGTCGTCTTCATCTGCTCCAAGCTCAGGGAGGCCTAAGTTTTAAAAGGGATATGCAACAGGAAAAACGGACCACAGCCTGTTCACCCTCTTCCCACTCTAAAGCTATGCTAGCTTCTTTTAAGCAATTCTCCCTTCTAGCCATTCCCTTGCTCTCCCATACCTCCATCCTCCTTTGGCTTAGAAACTCTTCTAGATGGTGTTCTGCAGTGTCGCCAGTTTCTACCCTTTGTCTTCTAGTGCTCTTGAAAGTATTCTGTCTGATCCTGGCGTCGGCTTTGTTCTGAGTGTCTGGCCATTAGTTGGAAGACACAACAAATTAGTGCATTTCACCCCTTATTTAGTGGTTGGGATGCTGGGTACCACTTCCCTTGAGCGTGGAGGCTGCGTGTATGAGCAACTATTCAAGACAGCTGCTGCCTGGTAACGCCTGCACTGGAACGGAAGGCCTAGGAACTGCACTGCGTTTTCTGGGCTGCTGAGTGCTCTTACGAGCACTCTTTATAGTAGCTTTAGTGCTACCAACTCTATAGCCTTTGCAGGCACCTGGGAAACCTCCTCCATGGCCCTGTCAAATCCCAAAAGTTCTTTGGTTTTCCTGTTACACTTTGGTTTGCCTACCATCTTCTCAGAAAAGGACTATATCCAACCTGAGAGCTATTTAACCAGCTGCGGGAGACTTGCACACAAAAAGTACTTTCCCTTACCACTTCATAGTTAAGGCTTGCTATAGTTTTCTCCTACAACAGTAGGCAACCTGGTAACAGGCTGTTTCTTTAAAAAATTACTGATTTTCTAGGTGAAGAAAAACTGATAATCAGGCACATCCTAATGGAGATGTTAGAGTCAGGCTGTTTTATTTTGATTTTTAAAATATCCAGACCCTATACATACAATGCACAGTGGCGGTTAGTGTGATCCTGGCAAGTAAAGCATTTGCTCCGTTACATACACTAAAGCACAACACCATTTTCTAAGAGCCCTGAGTATACGCGCTGTCAGAATGAGCAGTTCTTTTAGTACTGCATGGAAAGCTGCAGATTTGCTTTCCACGAAGGGACTGAAACGCTACAGCTCTCTTCTACTTACCCACTTCCTTTGGTGATGTCACAAGCCCAAAGAAGACAATGACTCCTCCAGCAAACTGTACTGAGGCAGTCACCAAGAAAGCATACTGAAGGTAAATAAATAAAAGAGTATTTTTTAAAACACTTTCAGTCACATAGGCTTCCCTGACTAAGGAGGGTTTCTTTACATTCCAACCTTGTCAGAAAGTAAACACAGCTACAACAACCCAGACTACATCCATAAAACTTGGAAACAATTGATCTCTGCATCTCCTGAACAGACTCGGTTCTATCTAGGCTGAAAGACCACACTGAAACAGCTGCTTTAGTGTACTGAGGTGACAGCAGTGAGGAAGGAGCTCACCCAACAGGACCACAGATCCAGCTATACTGGAAGGGACTGCTCAAAGAAGGGTCAGACACCAAATTCAGACCAGATTGCTCAGGGCTTTGTTCAATCAGGTCTTGAAATCCTCCAAAGACAGATCCTCCAGGCTCTGGCCTCTTGTTCCAATGCTTAACTAACTTCATAGTGAAATAGTTCTCCAAACACCCAGTTGGAACTATCCCTGCTTCGCTTTATACCACTGCTTTTTTGCTCTCTCACCATGCAACTCAGGAAAGTCTGGCTCTGATTTCTCAGCAATCTTCTCACAGCCTTTGGAAGGCTGCGATTTGGTACCCTAAGCTTCCTCATCTCCAGAGTGACAAGCTCATCTCTGTTAGCCTGTCCTCATAGGTCTCACACTGCAAGATGCCCTGGTTCACTTGCATTCCCTGTATTCAGTTGCCTGCCTGCTGCATTACAGAAACGCAGTGTGTGCCTGGCCTCTTCCCAGTTATAAAAGCTATGCCTCCATGCCTGTCAGAACCTCCGCGCTATTCAGCAGCAGTGACTTCAGTTAAGTGAAAACCTGTGACGGACGACTCTGAAGAGCACTTTAAGCCACCCAAATCAGAAGAGGGTATATTATGACACTAGGGCTCTTCAATAACATCAGTCCCATTTGCAGAGAAGTCTCAGGGTCATTTCTCCCAACTTGGAAGGGTCAGAAAAGGAATACCCTTTTTATTCTGCCTACTGCTTGCTACCACAGAATTCAAGAAGATGAAACTGGACACTCTAAGCCTGTTACCGCTCAGAGACAGGATTAGAGACAGGATAAGAAACTAGTCTTTCATAACCCAATCAGACCTGCAGTCCTAGCTATAAGCCAGACAGCAATACCTACCTCATAACCGTATTTGAGAACACAGGAGGCAAGGAATGCCCCGAGGATATTTCCCACAGATGCACAGGCGCTCCAGAGTCCAAACACAAAACCTCTCCTGCAGAAGGGGAAGAAAATTTGAAAGAGGCAATGCAGGAAGCAGTGACATTAGGAGCAAGATAGAAACATAACATTCGAGTGAACTTTAAGTTATGAATAAAGTTACAGCATTCTCCCAGTCCACTTCAAAGAGACTCAAAGGTCACTTAAAATACAGAATAACTTGGGGGTACCAAATAGATGAGCAAGGAATATTCTATCCTGACACACCTGTGTTACAGCAGAGGTGAGCTGGCAACAACAGGGTTACAAGCTATGGCTAAAGCTCATCCACAGTACCCCAAAGTGACACAGCTGAACCTACAATGAGTCAGTTTCCATTCAGTCTCTTCAGTGGTAAGTAGACAGAAAGAGGTTTTCCAGTGGCATGAAAATTCAAATTCAGCCATTTTGCACTATGGGACTTCGGAATTTTGAACCTGTGCCTTTAACACACACAACTGTATTCACACCAAGCTGTGGCTCCACAAAAAAAAAAAACACAAACCAAAAAACACACCAAACAAAAAACCAAACCAAACCAAAACAAAAACCCAACAAGTAAGGTATATTTCATCCCACATAACTTTAATTCTGACCTAACAGTTGGCCTTTTTGGTTTGAGACCTTCAGCTCAATCTTCTACTCAGCAGGTCAGATAAGTGAGCCACTGAGGAAAACTCGACTTACCCAGCTTTTCCAAACCAATTGCCCATGACAGCAACCACACAGGGCCAGCCAGTAGACTGCAGCAAGCCATTCACAACCCAGAGACAGCAGTAGAACCACTTGTTGTAGAAATGTAACCATTCTGTCAGTGTGCCAAAGAAGAATACCTAGAGAGGAGGGGAGAAAAAAAAACAAAACAAAAAAAAAACAGAGGAGAAACCCTGCAGCAACTGCTGAAAGCCAGGCAGGAGCATGGTCCTAAAAAAGAAGTAACATGTCAGGGAGAAGGTGCCCGGCCGGGGCCCGGCCAGAGGCAAGGCCGGCATTGTTCGAGACCCAGCTCGGAGCCACGAGCACCCTCTGCTGAGCCACCGCAGCACCGACTCCTGAGCCCACACAGCTCCAGAGACAAACGGGCTGTCACGGCACTTCCACTCCAGAAGACTTTTATCTCCGTAAACAGCACAGTTATAACAGGAGAGGCCGACTGCTGAGCCCACACAGCTCCAGAGACAAACGGGCTGTCACGGCACTTCCACTCCAGAAGACTTATCTCCGTAAACAGCACAGTTATAGCAGGAGAGGAGAAGAAAGAGACAAATACTTTCAGTAACAACACTAAAAAAAAAAAACCAGTAGCCTCTTGATCTGCTGTTGTACTGACATCCGAATCCACAAGGCTCTATGCAAACACAAAACCCTCAGCAGTCATTTATCTTACCAAAATTTAACATAAATACTACAACCAGATCTCAAATTACTAAGAGCCCTAACCCAAACTAGCCAGAATAAACACGCTTTGTGGCATACTGTGCTTGATGCATGATTGTGGTCATGAGTTCGCAGAATGCAATAGGCCATCGTGGGGTTTGTAGCCGCTGGGCAAATCAAAAGTGCTCTACACATTTTACTACTACTTTCATAACCAGAAAACCACAATGAGATAAAACTGATTCACACTTATCTGCAGTGGCTTGAACCTGAAGAACCCTTTTGTTTTAAGTGGACATTCTTTTTTGACACATGCCTTCCCAGCAATTACAAAATAAGTAAATGAATGCTTAGTATTGTTAGCGTGTCCTTTAAAGGAGAGAGCAAAGATCATGTCTGGAAGCAAAAGCCTTGATGAAAACATATGTGGGCTGGGAGAACAGTTATAATGCAAAACAGTCCCCAAAAGTCCAAATACACCAATCTTGTACAAAAGCTGTTCATGAAGTCTCTAGACTGTTCCTCAAACTTAGGAATTTCCTTCTGACACAGTATCCATAAATAAATACTTCAGGAAGAGGTGAGTCATGTACTGTAGCACTCTGTTTTGGACAATGCAATAAGTGCATCCAGGACAAAGTTATACATGCAGACTTTGAGACTACTGAGGTACAGATACAGATCATGGGCAGATTCACACAGAAACAGAGCCTCTTCTCCCCTGAAGTAAAACCCTATCCAGAAGCCCTAAGAGAGATTTCTAAATCACACTAGTATGTTCCGACTTACCACCAGAGCAGAGGAACACATGCCAAAAGACAAAACCCAGCGTAAATTCAGGCGATCTCCAACTATGCCACTGACAAAGAGACCCTAAGAACAAAACACAGCATTAAATAAAGCCACAAGATTTGCATCTGTTATCTGCAAGAATTAAAATTATGTAGAAGGGTCAAGCTGATCCAAACGTCGTTATTATACCAACTTACAGTTTGATTCTAACCACTTCTTCCGCCACCAAAGAAACTCCGCTCATAGTTGTGCATTAAATTTCTTATTTCTAAAAAAGTTCAGCCGTGAACTCTTGGGTAGACAGAATTAGCCCTCCCACTCACTGGTGATAGGGGTGTGAGAAATTCTGAAGTGATAGTGTTTCTCTTGCACTTGTTAACAAGCATCTTCACATGGGTGACAGGTATGGGCAGAACTAACAGAAATTGAAGGAAAAAATCTGCTCCTGAACTCAGCTTTTTAACTGCATCAGTGCTAGGCAAGTTCACAAAGAAGATCCTGTTCACCCCCTCCAAATATGGGTGCAATCATCCCAATAAGATTCAACCAAATCTTAGCAGCTTTGAGTTAGTTTTACTCACCATAGCATAGGAAAACAAAAAGATAGTGTCCAATGTCCCCAAGAAGAGAGTTGCTTCTTCTGCATTTGGAAATAAATGGCTGCTGTTCCAGAGCTACAGGCAGAAAAATTTAACAGGTAAACAGGGAGAGGCACAGCGCATTCTACTCTTTTTCAATGGAAACCTCAACTCCAAAGCAGAAAAGCATCAGGCCCCCCATTCCTCTAACACTTTAATTATCAAATCAAGAACAATTCTGGCATTATCTACTGCAGAAAATCTCCACTGTCACTTCATTTTACTTCTAAAGGGCAAGCTAGCACACCAGAAGTGAGAAATGCTCATTCCACCTGGATCAAGACAAATGACTAGCAAAACAAACCCTACTTCTAACAAACATGCAACTGTTGGACAGCTTCTTACACAGAAACACTGATGAGCGTCTTAATGAATAATACAATAAAGGCATATTCTGTTTTACGTGCAGTGTCTTTTCTGTACTTATCTTGCTGTCTTCACTAAATGAATAATTCAAATTATTTGTGGCAGCAACCATAACAAGAAATGACAGACCACAAACAGAAAAGAAAGAACACAAAAGGAACAAGAAGAAATAGACTGGTTGGAAAGTATTTACAATGAACTCCAGTCACTAATGTTATTTTTTATGCTTACCCTGAGTTTCAGTTTACTTTCAATATGATCAAAAAAAGGGAAAAAGACTCAATTGTCCCCAAACTAAGATTAATGACACCAGCTGAAAATAGCAAGCTTTGAGGATGACTTGAAGAATGAACAAAGTTAATCAGGTCAAAGTTTTCTTCCCTCCTCGCTGTGCCCCCATTAGAAGACAAACAAACCAAGCCAATCCAAACCTGACCTATGGATGTGCCTAACTCAAATATCATCAATTTTAGTTTGATTTCACCTCTCCAGGAGAACATCCTGTACAGACAACACTAATTACACATCCAGTTAGTTTAAAAGATGTAACATTGGTAAGGTCTGTTGATACAGCTTCTGCTTAAGTCTCATGTGTCCAAGAAAACCAATAAATCCCTTGAAAAATATTTTTTGCTACTTGAGGCCACCAATACCTACTTACACCAGTAGCTATCACCTTTTAACCAGAGATCCATGGGGGTCCACAAGCTATTAAGAGTCTTAGAAAGATAAGAGAATCAAATCTTTTGTCATAAGGTTTAAATTCATCAAACAACCTCCACAGAACTACCAAATCTTTACAGGCTGAAAAGTGCAGATCTAAGTTGTCCTTTTAATGAAATCATACTAGGGCCTACTCATAAAACAATTGCAAAACATTTTGTTATACTTTAAAAAGTATTTTTAAGTAAAAATAAAGAACAACTGTAGTTAAAAAGATACACCAAAGTTCAAGACTGATAGCACATGACTCCTCTGTTCATGTCCTTAATCTGTCCTATCAATTTCCCAAAACACACTTTACCATTTACTGACATAACGTAAATTGATACCAAAATGACCCTTTGGACTATTTCTCTTGAACAGACACATACAGCTCAACATCCAGTAAACACTAAATCATCTATATTTAAAAAAAAAAAAAAAAAAAATCAAAACAGCTTCCAAAATATACTAGTTGTTTGAATGTCAGTTAAGGAACTAAATATAAACACCTTGCAGTTCATTTAGAATCCCTGAGATGCTCACTCCTTTTTGCCATACTATAAAATCCCGATTGCATTACAGGCTCAATTTACAGTTCTCAATTATCACCAAAAGTCAGCAATTATCATCTCTCAGTCAAACGTTCAAAAAACCCGATGATTTCTAATGGAGACAACTAACCCAAGCAACTGACTTGGAACTCCCTGCTCTAATAGATCTCGTGGTCTGTGACCAAGCTGTTAATGGAAGATTTCTTCCGCTTCTCAAAAGCATCAGGACAAGCCACTGCTAAAAAGAAGCATGCCCCTAAAAAGACTATGAGTAGGAGCCAGGAGGTAGTTCTTGCATTCCCATTTGTGAGATGCAAGCAGTATACAACTCCCTTCTCTGCAAGCAAACACTGCCAAAACTCCCACCACTTTCACTGAAGCAAAGATTTTACAGACAAGGGGTGCTGGATGTTCAGCATTTTTGGAAATCAGACCTTTTAGATGCAAGATAAAATGTCATTCTTTAGTATCAATTTAGGATAAGCAGCTAGCATTTCCAGATAGCTTTCTTCTCTCCTACTTCAGCTATCCTTTTAACAGGGTGGCAGCAGCACCACCACCACAGAGAAAGCCACAGCCAGGGTTTTACAGACATCTCTGTAAGCCCATTAACTGCTCTCGTTTATTGCCTCCAACACATCAGAGGTAGGGTTTCCTCTCCTCCCCCACCTCCATGCTGCAGGCTACTACAGGGGTCTCCATTTCCATTAGAACACTGTAACTTCTTGAGAAGTTTCTCTCTGGGGACCACTAGGAAAGATTTCGCTATCACATGATGATCCAGAAAACTACAATTCAGACACCTGAAGTTCCCACTCACATTCTGAGAAGTGTCCCTGATGGATACTTAACAGGGCCTCTTCAGCACCACAATCTCAGCATATGGGAAGTTCCCCAACCCTCTTTGCACTTGCCTGTCCCTTGTGTCCTTACCTCATATGGCCGGAGCTCAGGGGCCGTGCTGTTTAGGCAGGAGGGAGTCCATTGGCTGGGAAAGATGTTTGACATTACTGAATGTCTTTCTGGAAGCATGGAGCAGGGAATAACTGCCAGAAAACACACAAGCACTGGTTAGCCAAATCTTCTCCAGAGGTCAAGTAAGAAAGGGTGAGACTCAAAATACAGATACATGATGTCTAAGCATGCAGCATAGCAGAGGACTGGGAGTTTTGGATATAGCAGCCAGCAGCAGGAACCCCCAAATTATGAGTAGACACATTGATTTTAGTGCAGAGTTGTGAAATAGGGTCTTGACTGGAAAGGATCTCCTCTTTTATTTTCAAAAGAGGAGGTGTGACTGTACAACAACAACCAGGTATCTCAGAAAAAAGAAAAAAAAAAAAAAACAAAAACCGAAACAATAAAAAGAAAAGACAAGACGCTCTCATCTGGCTAACCACCATTACAAGCGCTCTTCCAGAGACACATTAGGTATCAGTAGTGGTATTGCTGCGAAGATCAAAGGATATCAGCAAGACAAAGTTTGTAAGGAGAGATAGTATGGTTTTCCAGCTGTTGTCAGCCCGTGTAACAGACAAGCTTTCAACAAACCAACCTAGTAGACCTTCAGATATGAAGCACTGACCTCTCTGTTCTAGAGGTCTGTCCGTCCTCTGCAAACAGTATTTGCAGGAGAGAAGAGGACCCCAGAAGCAATGACAGCATGTTCCGCCAGTCAGAACAGGCATTAAATGAGTTCTGAGCATCAGGGTTTGCTTCCTTTCTTGTTTCAGTGAGTTCCTCCCCACACCCACCCACATTCACCCTACTGCAACAGACTGCTGTTGGCTTGGCAGAGTCAGCCTCACCTTTGGTGCAAGCCGTTTGTGGTTGGATTCCCAGGGCCATTGCACACTTAGCTCCACTACTGCATGACTCCCAGGATGGTTGGTACTACTAACTTTTAAGTTTGCTTTCAAGGCTCACAGCCAAAGGCTAAGACTATTTCCCTTCTTTGGACATGCCCTCACCTCCCAAATTCAGTGAGATGCACAATTT